AGACGTAGAGATCGCTTGGCCATTGGAGGCACGTACCGTCGTAGACTTGTAGGTGAACCTTAGTCGGCCCGCATCGCTGCTCGATCCCCTCTAGTGCGGGGTACAACAACTTTGACTCGGGCTTCACAGGATACTTCTCCGGATGCGCAGCCTTGTGCGCGCTGCGTGTACAGTCCCGTCAACCGCATTTACGATGAAGACAAAGAAGTTTCTGTACTCACAAGTAGATGATCTCATCTCTTAGCACCTCCTTATCCCCGGCACTGACGAGCAGCGGCGGCAGCCCACCGAGGTAGCTCACAACCGGGCTCACCAACGGATGCGTCAACAAATAGTTCGGCGTGTACATGTGCACCTGCCCGTCGATCGCGAGCCTCTCGCCCTTCGCCGTCGTCATCTCCAACTTCTGGCTCCGCACACTGTCCAGGGCGACGGCGGTAGGAAGAGACTGCGCTGCGCCCGGGTGCAGCTTGCGTCCCATGGACGGGTCGTCAAGCGTGTAGTCTGGCGTTTGGGGCCGAGATGGGAGCCCCCCAGGGTGCGTTGAAGGGTCTGAATAGGGGACGCGGGGCTTCGCCTCATTGCTATCCTCTTTTCCCTTGCCTTTCGGGCGCACGGCTTCGCGCACACGCACCCGGAGCCCCTGATGCACTCGCGTGGTGACGTGATCGGGAGGGGGAGGCCACAGTGTGCTCGGCTTGTGGAACGACAGGCCGTACGGAGGGATGATGTCCTGTATACGAGCCATTGGTTTAGGGAATCCAGCACCTGATGTCCCTGCGCGACGTACCGTAGCGGTGTTCAGGTGTATACTGGGGAACGAATGGGTTAGGTCGCACCATGGTGATATTACAACGGCACCCGCGGGCATGGGCAAACCAGAATCTCGGATCACCTGCAGCCCTGCGATGCACAGTCCTCCTCCGGCAGAGTCGCCGGCGAACACGATGCTTGAAGGAGAAACGGGGGTATGGAGCGCGCCGGGAGGAGGTTGAATTAGGTACAGGTCTGCAATGAACAACTCGAACGGCCGCTCGTGGCTCGCTAGGGCTCAATCACACTCACAAGCGGCAATGAAGTCTTGTATTGCGCATGGGAAGGGGTATTGGGGTGCCAGACGGTAGTTGATGGCTGCGCTCGTGATAAATGCATATACGGGATGCCGTGCACAGTGTGCTTACCAAATACGCGTCCGTTGATCTTTCGAGCAAGCCGCTGAATAGAATATCTATGACGAGAGCTTAGCACAAGATAAGCTGGGCAGCCACAGCGGAACTAACCTCTCTTGATCAAGGCTGCCGAAGTAGTAACCACCTATCCAGGGTGAGCATGCTGAACAATCTGGCAGAGCACCTCATCTCACCGCCGTGCACGTATAAGACGCAGCGCATCTCGTCCATCTCTGGCTGATACTGTGAAGGCATCTCCTCGTTCGCGTCACCGTTCTCGGGAGGTTCGGGCCCGCTCGTCCCACACGCTTTCTGCTTTTTCTTGGCTTCCTGATAATCCTTCTTCGCGACCATCCACTCTGCATCCACCCTACTCAGCGCAGCTTGAGAAGCCTTCACGGTCGTATCCAACAGAGAAGCACTCACCCTTTGACCCCGCGCACCTGCCACCACTTCGTACCGCCCACCACGTGCTTCGTGACCTCCTCGCCACCCAGCGCTTTGATCAGATGTGTCGCAGCTTCGTCGCAGCATGACATAGGCACCAGAAGGCGAACAGCATGGACCCATGGCGGGCTTGGAGTGCGCATGTTCGAAAAGGCCTGCAATTCTTCTACCGTGTGCCTGAACGGGTCTCAGCGGATGACCTCGAGGGAATGGGGAATTTACTCACTTCGTCGCGGCTTCCATGGATGACTGAAATCAAGAGCTTAGTTTCTAGTAATTGGGTGTTCGAAAGTCGATACCAATGATCGGGCGCATATATCCATATATGCATGTTCTGGAACATATAAATCTGGCATGCCGGAAAACCTCCTTGGCTCAGCAGAATGAGGATCATATATGCGCGATATTCTGTCACGAATGCCAAGTACGCGAATACTGTACTGGCGGACGCGAGTCTTCCTCAAGTCTCACACTGTCCGTGCGCGAATGGGCTCCACGTACGGTTGCGGTGCTGAGGATCTCATAGACCATGGCTTCGAGGGGTCGCGAGAATGTCAAGAAGGTTGTAGAGACGCACCTTGATGATGATGAACGCCTCATCGTACAACAACTCTTCCTGCCTCAGCCGCGTCGACTCCTCCGACTCGTGGTCCTTCGCAATCCGGTCGAAGTAGTGCTTGACGAGTGTCTCGAGGATGATCGGCCCGAGCTTGAGCCCCGCTTTGCGTGTGAGACAGTTGACCATGGGGCCGTTTCCCGTCTTCGCGGCAGACGACCTGCGTAGTGAAGCAGAGACTTGAGATGGTGCGCGAGAGCGATGGCGTTGCGGGGGCGTACATCATTATGAAGGTCAGTTGACTGCGCTATACCTCAACGGGATCTGGATTGGGCGTCCCGGTAAGCATTACTCCGTGAGCTGGAATGAACATTGACCACAATTTTCCATGCCTAGACAACTTGTAAGACTGTAGCAATGTGGTGACTCGCTGGTCAGTGAAGCTGCAGGTCGCTGGCGACTGATGGCTGTGGTAAGACTGTAACCTGGGGCTGAGGCGACATCAAGGATTGGCGCAGAGACGTAACACCATAGGTTCGGACGACGTCAGCGATGGGTATCCAGCCTGCTGTCATGTGCGCCGTGGGTGGCCTTGATCTTCCTTCCGCGCATGGCGTCCATAGTTGAACAAGGCAATGGCCACGGTAGCGAGCGGTGTCGTTTTTGGGATTGCTCCTGTCAGACGCATCATATTCATAGGCACCTGCGAGGTACCTGCAGACGTGAGATGAGATGAGTCCTCTGTGCCTGTTGACTGTGCTCAGAGCGCCTCGTGCACTCGATCTCGCGCTCTTGGCCATTCTTGACATCTCCAGTGTTCTCTCTGTCATGGATGCACGATCAGTCACCCAATTCTATATCGAATCTCACCGCATCGCTACAGAAGCTCAATTCATCATTGATTCCCTCCCCAATGCTGAAATTGCAACAGTCGAACAGATTGTTCAACAGCTCGATGCCATCCGGGACATACTCCTGCACATAGATGACAATCTTGCAGAACCAGACGAGTTAGAGGGTCTCGTTGACCTCGTCGACTCTCTGCTTGAACCCCTAGAGTCCTTCCTCGACAACCCCCCTCCTCACACAAGCTCCCATCTCCCTCAGACATCCAGCTCGAAGCGCGGGAGACCGGCATACGAGCTCGATCTGCAGCGCATTCTGGAGTTACACCGCTTGGGCAATTCCTGGGAGGATATAGCTCGAACTTTAGGTGTGGCCCGCCAGACTATCTATAACCGTCTGCGAGCAGCAGGGATCCACAGCACACGCAACCCCTTCACAGTTATCTCAGACGAAGACCTGGATGCAGTCATCTCCGAGTTCAATAGCAAGCATCCATTCAGTGGCTCCACGATTGTCCAGGCACACCTGGAGACCAGAGGAATACACATCTCTCGTGCACGGGTGCAAGATAGTCTGAGGAGGGTGGATCCCATAGGGGTTCTTGTCCGGTGAGTAGCTTGTAATGTTGTATAGCAAAGCTGGAGATTTACTGTCCACCAAGATGGGCAAACATAGTGAAGCGGAGGGTGTACAAGGTCCGTGGGTCCAACGCATTATGGCATATCGATGGCAATGAGAAGTTGCGCCCTTGGGGATTCTACGTGCATGGCTGCATCGATGGTTTCTCTCGCCTCATCATCTACCTTGTCCTCTCCAACAACAAGCGCGCTGAAACCGTGAAGTCTTGTTTCCGAAATGCCATCAAGTCGTTCGGATGGCCAAGTCGTGCTCGAGGAGACTTTGGGACTGAAAATAATGGGGTGGAGCGTTTGATGGTGGAGCATTGGGGACAGGAACATCGGGCATTCCTTCGTGGAAGGTGAGCACCGAAAGTAGTGGATGCACTATCACTGTCTTCTTACACTCTTACAGGTCTCTCCACAATGTGCGCATTGAACGCCTCTGGAGAGATGTGCGCAAAGATTGTCTCGAGTTCTGGCGACAGCTCTTCATGGACCTCGAGGACGAAGGACTCCTAGATATGGAGAACGAGGTACATCGTGTATGCCTGTTCCTGGTGTTCGAGAAACGTATCCAGGCATCCCTCGATAGAGCCCGTGAGGCTTGGAACCACCACAAGCTACGTACGGAACGCAATAGGCCGCCGATAGCTCTATATGAGCTCAGCCGCGAGCAGGCTATTCTTCAAGGGTACTGGACAGGGGATCCTGGAGATCCGGTTGAAGACGTACGCTTTGACCCTGGATATGGCATTGATGGCGATGCACCTGTTCCTCCTGCCGATGAGCGGCATACTGATCCCACCATGCCATCTGAGGAGCCTGTTGACCTTGATGAGGAGTCGGAGAGGGCGGCGGGTATCGCGCTGAATACTAATGAGGAGCTAGAGAGAGCTCGGGAGGTTTTGTTTGATTTCAACTTTGAGCAGGAGGATGAGGACTGGGGAAAGAACGTCTATATGGCTGCTATTGCAGAGTATATCGCTCGTGTACAGCCATGATAACTATGCTATGTACTCTATGCTCACCTATGATGGGCAGCACGTGTAAGCCCGAGACATCTCACAGAATCCCCATGCACTGGTGCCCACAAACAGCTTCCCAGATCCAACTTGTGCAGCTTTGGGTGCTGGCGGAGGAAGTGTGCGAAGGACTGGAACAAGCCCAGGTCATCGTCGGGCCCAACTATCATGAATCGGAGCACCTCAAGTTACGGAGGAACGTGTGCACGCCATCGATAAGTAACATGGTCGCTCCTGAGGCCTGAGCACGAAGCTTGCCGCGCACGGCTCCTCCAATGTTGCGCGCAGCATCCAAGTCAGTCAATGGAAATGAGGCTCACCAGCAGTAGGCATACAGCTCCCGAAGGACATTCGTCTCCAGACGGAAGCTGGCGGGATACTGTTCCCCACTTGGCCCCACCCGTCCCATGCCGTCCTCTCGTTTCCGCTTCTGACCGGTTATGGGATCGGGTCCCATGCCTCCTTCTATCGTGACCTGGTTGCCATGTATTCGACGAACGTTGAGCCAGCCGATGTCCTCCATGACGAGGTCGTGGTTCATTGAGTGCTCGACCTCCTTCGCGCTTATAAGCGCATACCGGAAATCCTGAACGATGATGACGAGAACGAGGTAGTGCGTCGGGAAGTTGCCCAGCTGGATGTAGATATGGCCTTGGGCGTCCTGACCGAGCTTC